ATATTTCGACGAAAAAGAAACATACCCCAAGATACACCAAAAAGGTCAAACAAATACTAACAAAAATAGTCCCCAGACTATTTTGATTATTTTTTGATTATTTCTGGGGTATGTCTTACTTTTCGTCGAAACTCCCCCCTGTAGGGGGACAGGCCCGACTGAAGGCCAAGTTGAGGCCTCTTTTGGGGGCCGCCCGGGGGGCAGCTCTCGGCTGTGTCGGGGCCATCGTGGGTCCTGCCGCCCCTCGCTGCTTGCTCTGGGATCGCCCTGGGGGCCTCGCTGGAGTTCTCTTGGGGGTGTCTTGGGCATCTGCTCTGCGTTGCCCCTCGCCCCGCCGCCCCCCACCCATCCCTTCTCCTGCTCCTCCTCCCCCCCCTCCCTCCTCCTCCCCCCCCTCCCTCCTCCTCCTCCTCCTCCTCCTCCTCCTCCTCCTCCTCCTCCTCCGGTGTCTCTGGGACGCTCTCGGGGTTCCTCGGAGCCCCGTGGGGGCTCTTCCTGGCATCGCTTGGAGCCGTCTTGGACGACCCTGGGAGCCATCTTGAGACCTCACGGTCCCATGAGAAGCGAACTGGCGCGAACGCCTACATGTTTCGGCAGCCGCAGGCTGTTGAAGGTTTTTTTGGCCTCCTGGAAGCGTCGTGGGGGCTGTCTTGGACCATACCGGGCCCCCTCCAGGCTATCATGGGACCCCTTGGGGCTGTTTTGGGGACGTCTTGGCAGCTGATTCAAGCGTTTCGTTCATTCCGCTGGCCCATATTGTATCACTGTTGGTATCTGGTTATGCTGGGAAGTGATGTGGGTGAGAGGGTAAGTTCAAGAGGGGTCACACACATGCATGCGGAACGACGCGTTTATTTGTATCAATGCACGGGGTACGTATGTTTGGGCAGGGGGAGCTTCCAGGGGATTGATGGAAGCTTCTGGGAAGAACAGGGGGGCTGATCGGGGGTGCCCCAGGGGCCTCTGCTGGTTGACATTTTTTTGACAGGGTCCGTAGTGGGCCACTTGGGGCCACCTGTTTTTCCCTACCTAGGCTCTGCCTAGAAGGGTTCTTACTCTGTAGCTTAAAGGGGCCGGGCAGTGCAACCCGCCCTGGGCGGCTCCCCCAGTCCCCTGGGAGCGGTTCCCCCAGTCCCCTGGGAGCTTTAGCTTAAGCTTTAGCTTAGCTTTAGCTTAGCTTTAGCTTAGATGTAGCTTAGCTTTAGCTTAGCTTTAGCTTAGATTTGGCTTAGCTTTAGCTTAGCTTTAGCTTAGCTTTAGCTTAGCTTTAGCTTAGCTTTAGCTTAGCCTTAGCTTAGCTTTAGCTTAGCTGTAGCTTAGCTTTAGCTTAGCTTTAGCTTAGCTCTAGCTTAGCTTCAGCTTAGCTTCAGCTTAGCTTTATCTGAGCTTTATATTAGCTTCAGCTTAGCTTTAGCTTAGCTTTAGCTTAGCTTTAGCTTAAATTTCGCTTAACTTTAGCTTAACTTTAGCTTAGCTTCATCTTAGCTTCAGCTTAGCTTTAGCTTAGCTTTAGCTTAGCTTTAGCTTAGCTTTCGCTTAGCTTTCGCTTAGCTTTCGCTTAGCTTTAGCTTAGCTTTAGCTTAGCTTTAGCTTAGCGTCAGCTTAGCTTTAGCTTAGCTTTATATTAGCTTTAGTTTAGCTTTAGCTTAGCTTTAGCTTAGCTTTAACTTAACTTTAGTTCAGCTTCATCTTAGCTTTAGCTTAGCTTTAGCTTAGCTTTAGCTTAGCTTCATCTTAGCTTCAGCTTAGCTTGAGCTTAGCGTTAGCTTAGCTTTAGCTTAGCTTTAGCTTAGCTTTCGCTTGATTTTGGCTTGGCTTTAGCTTAGCGTTAGCTTAGCTTTCGCTTAACCTTGGCTTGGCTTAGCTTAGCGTTAGCTTAGCTTTAGCTTAGCTTTAACTCAGCTTTAGCTTAGCTCTATCTTAGCTTTAGCTTATCTTTAGCATATATATAGCTTAGCTTTAGCATAGCTTTAGCTTAGCTTTAGCTTAGCTTTAGCTTAGCTTTAGCCTAGCTTTAGCTTAGCTTTATCTTAGCTTTAGCTTCGCTTTAGCTTAGCTTTAGCTTAGCTTTACTACTACTACTACTACTACTACTACTACTACTACTACTACTACTACTACTACTACTACTACGACTACTACTACTACGACTACGACTACGACTACGACTACTACGACTACGACTACTACGACTACTAACTACTACTACTACTACTACTACTACGACTACGACGACGACGACCGACGACGACGACGACGACGACGACGACGACGACGACGACGACGACGACGACGACGACGACGACGACGACGACGACGACGACGACGACGACGACGACGACGACGACGACGACGACGACGACGACGACGACGACGACGACGACGACGACGACGACGACGACGACGACGACGACGACGACGACGACGACGACGACGACGACGACGACGACGACGACGACGACGACGACGACGACGACGACGACGACGACGACGACGACGACGACGACGACGACGACGACGACGACGACGACGACGACGACGCGACGACGACGACGACGACGACGACGACGACGACGACGACGACGACGACGACGACGACGACGACGACGACGACGACGACGACGACGACGACGACCGACGACGACGACGACGACGACGACGACGACGACGACGACGACGACGACGACGACGACGACGACGACGACGACGACGACGACGACGACGACGACGACGACGACGACGACGACGACGACGACGACGACGACGACGACGACGACGACGACGACGACTACTACTACTACTACTACTACTACTACTACTACCACCACTACTACTACTACTACTACTACTACTACTACTACTACTAATGCTGCTTTCCCAGGGGCTCCAACTCCTAGATAGGGTCGCACTGGGATATTTTTTGGGGGCTACCTCGGCTCGTGATACCCCGAGGCTCTTTGCCTCTAGGTGTGCCCGTGTCTTCTTTGCCACGCTGTCGGAGATTTGTTGAGGCGCTCCTGGGGTCACCGGCTCTCTCCTTCCCGCACTTCAGGGCTCCGCGTGGAGCTATCTTCGGCGAGGTTGGTGCCACCTTGGGGCCTCAGATTTCGATAAGAAACTAAACGGGGAGACATCACACTTCATTGTATTTGTATGATCTTGTTTTTTGCCTCCTGCGGGTTTCTTGGTGGCTGCTTTCGATCATCCTTGGCTTCATTGGGGCTATCTTGTGGCCTTTTGGGGCTGTCTTGGGGGCATCTTGGGGCCTTCCACCTGTGGATCCCAAGTGTTGTGCTGTTCTGGGGCTCTATGGGAGCTCCCTGGAGCCTCCCCCGGTGTGCCCTGGGGAGTCTTCGGAGCCCTCTTGGGGCCTTTCCAGCCCCAATTGGTGAATCATCTTGGGTGATGTTGGAGTCATCTTGAGGCCCGAGAAGGCCATGGGAAGCAAAAGCGCGGGCAAGCTGGACGCGTCTGAAAAGCAGTGTGGTATCTGAAGGATTTGGGCCTGCTGGGGACCTGCTGGGGGCCTGTCTTGGACCATCTGGGGCCACCTCGGGGCAGTCTCGCGGCTTTCTGGGGCTAACTGGAACGCATGTTCGGGCCCTGGCTCCCTGCTCCTGGGCCGCTGTTGGGCTCTCTTGGAGGTATCTTGAGCTGTCTTGGGCCATCTGGGCCACATTGGAGGCTCTCTCGTGGCCTTTTGGGGCTGTCTGGGACGCATCTTTGGGCCTGCCACCTGTGTATCCTCAGTCGTGTGCTGGTCTGGGGATCTTTGGAAACTCTCTGGGGCCTTTCCCCGGGCCCCCGTGGGAGTCTTCGGAGCCCTCTCGGGGCCTTTCCAGCCCCAATTTGTGAATCGTCTTCGGCGATGTTGAAGCCATCTTGGGAAGTAAAAACCGAGAACGCCGATCTCATTGGAAAATCATTGGGTATCTGAAGGATTTGGGCCTGGTGGTGGCCTTTGGGGGGCTATCTTGGGCCATATTGGGCCACCTCGGAGATATCTTGGGCCCTGCCACCCACGGATCCTCGTTTCTAGGTCGTTTTGGGGCTATCTTGGAGCTCCCTCGTGGCGATCCTGGGTACGCTCGGACCGAATTATAAGATCGAGGTCGGCTCGGGAGGGTACCCTGGTGTTCTTCGTGCTTGTGTCGTATGTTCTTGTGCAATCTGGGGAAAGGTATCCTCGGGGTCCTTCTGGTTTGTGGTGTTTTGGCCTGCGGAGGGTCTCATGCTGTTGAGGGATGTTCTGCTGTCTTTGGTCCAGCTGGATGTCTTGGTTCTCCTTAGGGTCGCGCCCAGGAGCCAAACCAGCCTCAGATCCGACCTGCCCAGGACCATGCCAGGAGCTTGCCGGGGCCTCGTTGGGCTACTGTTCCTCCGGGGACCCCCTGGGACCGCCACGCGCGCGCGAACTAGTACGGTCGGACCGAGGTATGGCATCGAGGTCGGTTCGGGGAGGGTACCCCAATGTTCTTCGTGTTTGTTGGATGTTCTTGTGCATCCTGGAGAGGGGACCCTCGAATGTTGTTCAGTTTGGCTGGCGGAGGGTCTCGTATTCTTGGAGGATGTTCTCTTGTTCTACGTGCGACCGTATCGCACAAGCAGTAGGAGCCTCTCGCAAACATTATGAACCTTGCACTTCGTAGCCCGTGTTCGGCCCGTGGTGACTCACTTTTAGC